GACAACCTACATAGTTATGGATGAAATGTTCTCAAGGTTAGAGAACAGCATTCCATTTTATTTATAGGTATTTACTTATTAAGGACAGACACTAAAGACCTCCGGACCAACTGTGAAATCGCCTAGAAAGTTCTCTGAGAGCAGGAACCTTATTGACTATTTCCATTTTATATTGCCATCACTTCTGTACTGAGTGGAGGGTATGTGACTTAATTATTATTATTTTTTTAGCCCACAGAGGCTATTCTAAACATAGTGATTACAGACTACAATGACAAAGCAGTAACTAGGTTCTCTCCTGCATGCAACACATTACGCCCCTTTGTTCTCAGAATATATTACCAAGATGAAATGGCCTAAATTGCTGATGTAATTAAACCCAACAATTACTTTGCACTGAGGAAGTAGAGTAATTTTATTTTAAATAGTAAATAGGCTTAAAATGACCTTTGGGATTAGAAGGGCTCTAACTGATAAAAGTAATTGGAAGTTAGAACCTAATTTAGTTTCCCATAATCTTTTAGGATTATTCAAAAGCAATGGTCAAGTAGACATTTTAAGGGAAATAATTATAGAGAAAGAAGAGAAAAATTGAGGATGCTTAGAAATTACCCTACATAAATTTTTTAATGCCATACGTATTTAACACAGCTGCAATGAAACCAGATTTGTGTAGGTGTTTTATTCTTTTTTGTTAAGATGAAGAGGTTTATTTTATACATCTATGTAATAGATTTATAATTCTCCCTCTCTCTCTCTCTCTCTCTCTCTCTCTCTCTCTCTCTCTCTCTCTCTCTCTCTCTCCTGATTTGCAAATGGGTAAAGAAAAGCTTTATTGATTGACACAGTAAAGAACATGCCAGTTTCAGTAACACAGAAGGCCTAAAAAGAAAAAGTACTTGAACTGAAGTCAGGAAGCTACACTTCTAGGTCTAACACACACTGTGTCATCCTGAACATATCAAGTTAACTAATTGGGTGCCCATTTTTATCTTGTAAAATAGAAGAGATTATGTTAGGATAATTTTTAAGATATGAATCTTCCATTGCTAACATTCTATGATTCTAAAATACACCTATAATTTGAAAATCAAATAAATTGAGATTCAATAATGGCATGTAACAGGTTTCAGAATAAAAAATAATTTTGACTAAGTGTAGGGGAAAAAAATATGTCATGACAGGAAAAACAGAAGAAACTCAACCTAAACAGGACAATTTTAATTTAGAGGGCGCAATCTATTAACGTAATTAAGTTAATTGGGCATTAACTGAGTGTGCAGTTTCACTTTCGGTTAACATATTAATAGTTATAAAAGTAGGATTTTGACGGTGGTTGTTGAGAGACAAGGAGAAATGAATTTCCAGAGAAAATACAATTCTAGACAGGACAGCACTATAATAGAATCTCTTTGAAAGTCAGTGACTGCAAGACCATCAGACATCACAAAATCTTACCTACAGGGAAATCACATGTAAACATTGGTAAATACGAAAAGAACTGACAGAACACAATCATTGACCTTTGGAGTTTAAAGACCCACAGAAACGATAATGATTACATCTTATAAAACATTTACTAGGTTGAGCATTTGGTCCAATAACTTTATCTTCATTACATCAATCAAACCTCAAACTAACACCACTACGAAAGCCATCTATAAGTTGGGGAAACCGAGGCTTCAGTTAAGTGATTTGTTTAAGGTCACTCGGTTGGTAAATGTCAAAGCCATGACTAGAATCTGGGCTAATGATGTCACACTATACTGAATGTCCACTTAGTCCAACCTATTCTCTCAAGAGGAAACTGAGGTCCATAGAAATAAAGTAACACAACTGGCTAGGAGCTATTTTAATAGAGATTTTGTGATTTGGTCCCTAAATTTCACGTATTCTCATACTTTGCTAATTATAACCACCACCTAGTGAAAGTTTATCTTTTTTATAAAATAATATTTAGCATCTGCTTTATATGATTTATATGTGTTTGTAATTCACATGACTTTAGATGGGATGATATTCCTCAGTTATTGTTATTAATAATCTTGGTCTTATGAATTCAATGAGAATATATTTTTAAACAGCATTTTAAAAATTTACTTATGAAATGCCAGAGTAAAAACAAACAGTCTTAGTATAAAATATATAAACATTTAAGTTGGGAAGTAAATTAATCAAACCTGTTTTTCCCATTAATACACAAATGGGAAAACAGGCTCATCTGGTGTTCAGGATAAGTCAACGACAGACATGTAGCATAGAGTAATATAAGTTTTTCATAAAATGTTCAAGGGAAGGGAAAACGCAAAGGACCAGAGTGTTTTTTTTTCTAAAGCAACTGCAATGAATTGAGTTATTAACTAGTAATAACATACAAATATAACTATTTTCCACACATCTTTATTTCTCCTAACCTCCAAATAAAAAGAAAAAATAGGATGGAAAAAAAAATAAGTTTGTATATATACACACAAGTGCTGGGGGTAGTGGTTGTAAAGGGGGAAATGAATGAGGCGTGAGAAAAATGAATACTTACAGGTTAAATCTAGCCAGACATTCTAATCCATCACTGATCCCCAAAGGGCGCTAACAATATGTAAATGTGTGAATTAGAAAACACATTCAAGGCTGTTGATAAACTTGATAGAGTAATCAGCACATGCTGACAGACTAATGAAACCGATGAACTGATAAGGCAGCTTATCTCCTGGGCCTTTTTTCTTTTCATGTCAAACAGAGGCTAATGTATTAGGAGTTAAAGCAAACACTCAGAGGATTTCAGCCATTTGATTAGGAGGTGAACTGTCTGAGAAAATTATAGCTTCATGAACAACTGAAACTACAGAACCTGGTCAGACAACAGACCTTCACATAAAATTAAACAGAAGGCAGCCACAATAATTATGGAAGAAATCTGCAATTTGAAATTACATTGGGATCCTCCCCTCGCAAATTGTTAGAGCACTTTTCAGAGTCTGGGCAAAAGGACTACCCCTTTTTATAATAGAAAATGAGACAAAGGACTAAGCAATAACCCCAGGGACACACTTATCTTTCACTGCCTGTGTGTGCTCAGCATCTGGGTAACCCTAAGAGAGGCAGATCCAAAGGCACCAGCTGAATTTTCAATCAAATTTATTTACATAAAATAACTGAATGAATTTTGTGAAGTCACTAACTATAGTGAATACCAAATGTCCTATTAACAATAAAGATGCCAAATGCAGTCTCTGGCCAAGGATGTCAGAGTCCTTTCCTAATTAAAATAAAGACATCTTATTTAATAATTGAGGGAAATTGGGATAATGCCTTCTCAAGCATTAGCATTCAGAATAAAACATAAACTAAAATCATTAAGCCTCTTTAGATACAGCTAGAGAAAATGAACCATGTAGTATTTATTTTGATAGAATAACCATCCAGTATTAACAGGAAGAATTTAATTCAAATTATAAATCTGCACACTCCAGGCACACACTGCATGGATATATACATTTCATCTGGATAGAAAGACTGAAATAAAATGCTGGCTAGTCAAAAGCACTGTTTTACAATAACTTATAAGCGTTTAAGGGCAAAAGTACATTTAATGAAGGTAGAGTTTACCTTTTAGTAATCATAGCAAAGAGAAAAAGAAACAGCAACTAGAAATACTCCAACTGTCATTTTAACATGATTGTTAATTATTATGGGGCACAGGCTAACTGGGGGCAGGAGTCCCAGAGACATAGATTGAATATACTAACCTCTTCTAAACCATATATTATTTTCCTGTTTATTGACCCGGGCCTTACTCTGTCTATAAACAATTTCTAAAATTTCTGCCATTTAGAAAAAAAGAAAAAGTGAGTGTCCTTGCCAAGCGTAGCTTCTCTAGTTTGGGAAGATTTTAGATGTTTCTTTATGTGTGTGTGCTCAAGCCATATATAGCTAGTATCAAATTTCTCAAATCATAGAATATAGAAGCATAAAATAATCCTAGAGACTATGTAGTCTAATTTATTTTATATGCATGAAGGAGGCCTAGAAATATTTAAACATTCAACCAAGTTTAATGAAAAAAGGAAATCTGAGTTTGCAATTTGTGCTTTGGAAAAAAAGAAATATTTGATTTGAAGACAAAAACAACCCCATCCCTTCTCTCCCTTATCTCGAAACAGCAAAGTGAACCCATCAGCAGAGCATCTTAAACTTCAGGAATTCTTTTCCAAGAGTCACATACTGAAAAGGCAGCTTTCAGTTGTGTCCACCTCAAAGAGTTGTGGTAACAAAAGACTATAAAGCAGTTATAAATCAATGGCAGGTGATAGGTAGATATTTTATTAGAAATTCTAGTTCTTGACCTCTTGTACTTAGAAAAACCCATGCCCTAGGTTATGTACACTGTAATTAATAAGAGAATTGAGCTGATTATCCCCATGTAGTAAAAGGAATAATTGTGGTATCACACTTACTCACACATTCTTCATATGATTTTTACTCTAAAATACTAACTCTGAAAAAGCCTATTGAGATTCAAGACCTGATAAGGAAAACCTTACAAGTAGACTAAGTTACTCTTATCTTTTATGGACATCAAAAATCATTCATCTCTACACCAGAGCATGTTTACTTTTGAGGACCTTCTGTTTAAGAAAAGTAACATGATCAAAAAGTGTCATGAACTTGAAAAGTTCCTTAAAATCTATGTGCATTTAGTTCATCTTTTTCAATCTTGAGAGTCCAGCTAATACTTAATACCCTAATGGGTTTAAGAGCCCGTTTGCTGCAACTCTGGGATCTGGCCAATTTGTTGAGAATCACTATGTTAATACACTTGTTTGCTTTTGTCAGAACAAGTGTGCTTTGTGAAAATGTGAATGTGACACCCCATTGTGAATAAGGTTTTTTGGGGGAGGGTTAATGATATAACTTATTAGAATTCCATTTAACAGAAGCACGGGTTTTAATTTCTCCACAGGTCTCTGAAATATCAATGGAAATATTAATGTTTTACTCACCCATCATGTTGTACAAGCTCTGTGGAGCAAACTGCCTTGGCATTTTCTGAATTGCTTCCTTATATACACTGAGGGCATCCTAATTTAAGAAACAAACAAATAAAAATTAAGTACAAGGATATTCGGCAAAACCAAAATAAGAACATCCTTCTAAAATTAAAGCCTACCATAGCTATTGCTAAACGGTTCACTGGAGGAAAAAAATTGACCTGTCTCTTGATATCATACTACCTGAATTTCATGAATGAAAATATTCAACCCCAGTGAGGAAGATCATATAAAAGCTTAGTTTAACAAAGAGTTGCATGTTACCAACCCTCTTTTAACATAAATTTTTAGTTCACATAGACTATTCAATTAAAAATACTAGAAAAATTCACATTTGGAAGTCACCCATAATCATCTACTTGGAGTCTTGCATTCAAGTAGGATCGAAATGGAATATCAAATAACAAATCTAGCTACTGAGACCCACTGAGATTATTAAATTGTAATTATTTTAAAAGTTGTATCTCTTATCATTATATTGCATCAATACATCCTGTAAGAGTGTGTAGGGTGTGGTTTGAGAGAGAAAGAGAGAGAGAGAGAGAGAGAGAGAGAGAGAGAGAGAGAGAGAGAGAG